CAAAGTGATCTGTAGGAAGGTGATAAACTTTTTTTCTGGAGTATTTTCTAAGTAGTACAGCTGGTGTAAAAACTGCTGTATAAAACAGCCATTTTAAAACATGAGGCCAAATTATTTTCACGCTTAAGCAAGTTATCAGTAGGAGCTGTATGTCCAAGTTCTAAACAACTTGGTCAGCGCCTGGTCAGCCCTGACCTGAGCCTCGGTAACCCTGAAGTGGTCGGGCAGTTGGACTAGATGATCGTTGCAGGTTCCTTCCAACTAAACTTTTCTGAAGCAAGTGTAACTTAAAGCCTGAACCTGTTTTCCAGTTTCAGTAACAGGAACAGTCTTGCTGTTCTGCATGTTACCAGCCTATGCTGGAGCCAAGTTTAGAAGGCTGTTTTAAGTTTTCTTCCAAACTTGTTCAAATATAAAGTTATCAGGAAGAGTGTGTTTTCACAGTGTATTGTATCTTCTTTTTCACATGCATAGTGTTGGTGGGACTGCCAATTATGTTCTAAGGATTTGCCTTGTGAGGCAGCATCAAAATGAGTACTCGTTTTGTCATTGGATTTGTTCACAGACAGTATAAGAAAGAGTGGCAAATGTCCCCTGCCGCGTATTCACTGTAGTTGTTCTCTGTAAGTTCTATATCCGAAATGATCGTTACGGCCTTTTAATATGTGAGGTTTAGTAGTGAGTGTTTCTTTGGTCATTGCTGTTAGCAATCCTAAGTGGTTTTACACATTGTTTGCTGCGCAGTGGTGTCTGCTTCTCAATACTTAACGTCCACCTGAGGATGTGAGATTTTCAGCGTTGAAGAACACGTGGCTTCAGGTAGCCTCCGTAGTCGTACCAGATGGAAGTAAAGTATTTGCTGACTGGCAGTTTGAGACACCTAAAAATTGGAAGATACTGTGATGCCTCATTCTTCCATCTATGTTTTCTCCATAAGCTCTGGTGGCGTTCTGGCATCCAGTGACAAATTGTATTGCTGTGGGAACCACAACCAATTAATTTGTTAATGGGATTATTTTTTTTATTGCATATGTTGCTTTTGTTAGGAAATGTTCGGTGATGATGTTTTCAGAGTAGTTAACTACGATGGCACTTAAGACTGTGAGCGAATGGAAATTAAGGACCCTGCAGGTTAACGAATGTACTTTTTTTTTTTAAAAGTGTGGAAGGAATGGAAAAATAGAATGCATGTACAATGCATTAGACTTATGTCCCTCTATAGCTGCCTTCTGGCTCTCATGCAAGTGCCGTGCCTCATTGATATTTATGAGAGCGGATAGATACCTTTGGATGTTACTGGAAGGTTCTCTTTTTATAGAGTCTTGTTTTATGTTTATGTCCCCAAAAGCATTTCAGAATTTTTGGAAGGATGTACTATCTAACTCTCTATATGTAGAAAAAGCTATAAGGTCTTTGTTGTAACTCTTCTGCCGTATCTTCTGAATCTGCTTGTGAATCCATGGCTTTTTCTTTCTTAGCACTTAGATACTGACACAAAATATTATGCCCTTGTTTTAAAAAAAGGGAAGGGGGGAAGCGCAGTCATAGTGTGGATTAGTTCGGATCTTGAACAGAAATTCTAAATTCGATGTCCATGTAAGGGGAGCTGAGAGAAGTATGTTGTTTGACTAATAATATGTTTTAATAGTCTCTCGGATTTCTGTCAGAGATGCCAATTCAAGTGTAAGATGCCTTGCTTTCTGTTTGAGCAACTTTACTGCTTAGTTCTACATCTGTTTCCCCATTTTTAGAACAGAAACAGTAATTACTATATTAAAATGTGCTGAAGATAAACCTAGTGTTTTTATTTGGGCTCAAGGTTGTGAAGAGGTAGATTGTTAAGTGGTAGATATAATGTGCTTTCTGCTAATATTTGTAAAGCTTTTGGGTTCAACAGCAGAAAGGGGAGAATGAAAAGGATGTTCACCTCTAGAGTACTAGGGTCAATTTGTTTGTAACATCATTTACCTCTGCTTTCCAACGGCTGGTCTTTTGCAACGGTTGTCTTTGAAGCTGCAGGCTCTGGGAAAAGGTCCGGCTACAAGTAAAAGCAAAGATGACCTTGTGGTGGCAGAGGTAGAAATCAATGATGTCCCCCTCACATGCAGAAACCTGCTGACGAGAGGACA